TCATCACCGGCAGGCGTTGGGATTCTCTGTTCCCTCCTTCCTTCTTCCTCATGTCGGCTGGTAGCCTGTTGGATGGGAAATGATCTACTTTGCGGCAGGTTTCCACAAAGGGATCATAGAGGTGGCCTTGAGGGCAAGCAAATGTTTCCTTTCTTGACCTGAACATGAATTTTCCAGTAACGACTGTTTTGGAAATCTCTGAATAGTCAATGGTCGCCGACAGGGAAGTGAAAAATACGCTCATCCCTTGTATCTCGGCGCCACAGAAGACTTCCCGGTAGACGAGGTCTTCGAGAGTGCACTTTGCACAGAAGATGTTGCGAAAGGAGCGATATGGTTTCCTTACGACGACGATTGGTGATGGAATTCCTTTTCTGCATTTCTCTGCATATTCACACGTGGACGAGAGTGGCGTAGCAGGGAAACATTTTCTTGTTCGCCCCTCTGGTGCCTCAAACTCCAAGAAACATTCATCGTTCTTAACGGCTTTCTTTAACTCTGGCACTAATCCTCTACATTTGACGACAGCTGTCCATGCTATCATCGAGGAAGCGTTGTTGCAGACGGCACAGAACACATTTTTGTACGATTTGTGTCCTGACGATGTTGTTGAAAGTACTGGCAGGTGCAGGAGAGGGTCTTCCTCAAAACTGTGTTTCTCCTCACACAAGAGTCGCGCTTCGTTTCTGGGGAAGCTTGTGGGACAACTGGCCACCATCCAGTAAGACTCGGAAAGGTTGTACTGGTTTGGTGGTTCTATGGTCATGCACTGCAGCGGTTCTTCTTCCCTTAATTGTCGAACGGTCTCAGTAGTAGGGTCTTTCCGCACACAGGTGTCTTGATAGTCTTCACAGCAGTTCCCCATGTCTAAGCAGCTGGCATTGCAAAAGCATAGAGCTCCATGAGGCCGAACTTCATCGTCACATCGCCACTGGCATGAATCTGCGTTGATGGCCCGATCTCTGGTGGTCTCATTCGTGAGGGCAGCGCTCTCTTGGTGTTTGCAAACCTCTTCATAATCGTCGCAACAGTCGCCGAAGGCCTGGCACGATGCGTCACACTGACACGTGTGCGTGTCTTCCCAGGAACCACATCGTCCGGTACAGTGGTTGTCTTTCTCACATGGATCTGTGAGGTCTGGCGCGGCTTCATGACTCCTCTCGGACAGGGCCTGGTCGGTCACATTGGTGCCGTCGGTCAGTGTCGGCTGAACCGTGACGTCAAGCCCGACGTTGTCATCTGGACTGACATCTTTCTGTTGACCACTCGAATTCACTGCAACTGTAGACGTTCCGTTGAGCTGACTTGTGATGTTGTTTAGCAAATATGTTGTATTGTCGGTTGGGGGCGATGAGGGCATTTTACCTTCATTATCGTGTGAGCTTGACCAATCAGTCAAGTTCATGTGCCTACCTTCAGACGCCTGTATCTGACTCACCATCAGCAAGACGAGAATGCTGCTCAGGCCCTTGGTCTTCCCAGCAGAACTGGACGACATTTTGAAAACGTGGTGCAAGACCTTCTGAAAAACACGAATTCGAAATCAAAGCGTTGTATAACGCTCTGCATTTGTCAAAGAGGTTGAGACTGTATACTAGTACAGAATTTCCTGCAGCTGAAGATAGATGAAAAACTAATTTTCCTAATGTTAATATGCAGAAATCGTGTTCTCACGAAGAAACGTTAGAGAAAACAAAATTGAACCAAAGAAGCCAGCAATATATGTATCAGGTTCTAACACTTCTGAGTAATTGAAGATGTGGCCAGATGTTTTCCTCTGCAATCAGAGTAACGACTTCCTCATGACGGTAACTGTACTCCAAGTACGCATGTTTTGCATGTTATATTTATATATTACTTGTACGTTATTGTATTATAGGGAGTCATCTTGCAATTTTCTTAATAGCCTCTGTAGCGGCGTACACCTGGTACCTCCGTTGGAAGTGTAACCGGAGTTCTTGTTCAAGAACAACAGATGGTGTTTTGAGCGTTCTGGCTGGCTTCAATATGGCATAGACACATTAAAAAGCCCACACTAATCAAACTTATTGGTTCTCGGAATCACCCACTTTGTGTTCTCTTTCTGTACACGATATGGTTCAGGCTCCGGTCACATTGCACACTGGGGGCGTTCTTGGGATAGTCGACGTGCATATGTCGTACAAAATCCAGCTTTCGGAAAAGTGTGTGTAAGGTCCTTCTCTGAGTAGTCTCGCAAATTCAACGACACCAAAATCGCACGACAGCCTACAACACACGACAGCCTACCTTCACGGATGGCAAATAGTCGGCCTGAATAGAACAGGCAAACGAGACAAAACTAGCAGACAATATTAGGGTGTATTTCTCTAGACTTTAACGCCATACATAAGACGTAACACTGCCAAACATTTGATGACATCATCCATACATATTTGTGTTGGCAACGAAATTGACTACTATCAATGTAGACGGGACCTTAGATTTAGAATCAACTTCACAGAAGTTCGCAATGACCCCGATGTTTAGTCTTCCTCTGTATTCCTTAAGAAATATAACATCGCAAATGAACGGAAACATTTTGTCTGACCGTCGGGCGGTAGTGGCAAACTGTGGACATAATGCTTCTCCAATATACTTTCAATTTACTGTATATACAAAAGTACTCTCTTCAGCTGTTACAATATTTCTATCCAAACGTTACTGAGCAACAATTATAGACCGAAATATGTCAACATATGGTTCCTTCTTATCGATCAGTAAAACTAGATAAAATGAATATTATGGCCGTACAACTGAGATGCTGTAGAAAACAAATCATACCTTTATCTCAAGCAGGCCCCTTGCGTAATCTACCTGATGGCTGATGTCCGGATCCTCCTCACAGACATTTACTTCTGCATCATCACAAGAACATGGAGAGCTGAAGCGTGGCGGGCTCTCCAAGGTTCTGAGTCAAAGTATCCCCGCTTGAGGTTAATAAAACATATGAAATTGAAAACGACAATGACGTGTTTGAAACAATTCACGCCCTGTACATGTGTATTACCTTTCTTCTAATTTCCGCCAATATGCGTAAACACTTTCGGTTGAACTTCTGCGTTGGGCCATATCATGTTCATACAAACTTTTCGTGGAAACGCTTTGGCACCGTAAATTTTGCAAATTAACGCTGCACACCCACCACAAATCCAGCAGCTTTCAACCGATAGCCGTGCCCAAGTTAATCTAGATTTCTGATGTCACACACTCAGAAGCAGACAGCTTTTGGGTGTGTGACATTGGAAATTAGAACATTCTTTATTTGATTACATGCTGAATTGCACTAGCGTCGTGAGGATGTTTATGTATTGGATCCACTACCTCTAAATATCGCAAGGAGCGCTTTTAACTGTTGCCGGTATCACACGTCCCTGTCCTTGGTGCTGAATGCCATCCACACACATATTATTAGCGTTACATGAATACGCCGCCTTTTAGCGGGTACTAGAGTGATCCAAAACGCTGGTGAAGGGAAATAATTGTTGTGACGAGTGCAGCTTTAGAGAATAATAGACGTTGTTGTTGAAAAATCTATCAAATACCCACCATCAAACAAAATTGGCGTCGGCCAGTATGTCATACATGAGACCGTTATACAGAAAAGCCATCTACTCTGGCCTTATGTTTATGAAATGACCTTCCACCCTTCGTAGCATGCATAACATCAAATACGTGCCTCTCTCCATACGTCGCTGCGACATGCTAGCGGGCGGTTGAATCCTACAGCGACAACAACGTCCAATTTTTCTACAGTCTAGAGGTACAGAAAATACAATAAAAAGGACAGCGACGTCCCAGGAGTTTCCAGAAAATGTCGTCTGCTCAGAAAATCACAGACGACATTTTCAAGATGGCGGTGAACGGACTGCGACAGAAAACGCCAGTGGTTCTCCTGGCCTGTGGTTCCTTCAACCCCATCACCAACATGCATCTGCGTATGTTCGGTAGGTATACAGTATTTTTCCAATTTCTAACGACTGTATCTTACGGACAGCGATCGTTATGGTAATTGGACAGCGCCCAAAACATTGGGGCTTTGGAAAACAGAAAGATGTTTCTATCATGCTTGTTTCGTATGTCACGTATTTACCTCAGCTATGCATTGCGTTTCGAACCTCAATTATGTATTTAGAATATCAACTTGGGTAAAATAAATAGTATTCTGAAGCAAGGTTACAGTAAAGGTGGTACATGTGTCAAAATGTATTTTTACCTCACCTTAATTTTGGCCGAATGTGACATGGCATTGATGCTTTCTGAGAAATTTTCCAACATTATATGGTGTATAAAAACATTTTTGTCCAATAGCAACAGTAACGTTAGGTAAGGAAAAGATTGACTATATAGTCACTTTCCTGCAAAACCTTCACCCAAAATTGTCTCTGTACCATTATCAAGACTGTCACCCATCAGTAGTTGTAGTTGCGTATTTTGATCGTGATCGTGAAATCCACTGTTTCTAATCTGCCTGAGACTATCATACATTGTCATTAGGACACCTTCATGGCCTAAAATTTAATATGGATAATGTTATTTTCTTGTCAAACGACCCCCCTTGGACTAATTAAACAACCGACTACACAGCTGCCAAGTGATAAAGAAAGGCACTGCATCACTGTCAATGTTATCATGTGATCAGGTTCACTTCAAAGCACGTCATCAGGCAGATTTTGTTCACTTAGAGAACTAAGCCGGAAGTGCTGATTCTAATGTTGATCGATAGACAAATTAGAGAAAATTGGCTGTCTTAGAAACATACTGGCAATTGGAAAAACTTCGTTGTTTGCGATTCATGTATCACATTTGATCTAATTTAGCACCTTACATGGATGCATGATCTAACATACACGTCTATGTTCACCTTGCAGAAATTGCGAAAGATTTTTTGGAAAAGTCAGGAAAGTACATCGTCATCCAAGGCATCATCTCTCCTGTGAATGATAAATATGCTAAACAGGTGAGTAGGTTGTAGATTGCTAAAACACATAGAATATTGTACAAGCAAATTAGCATTGATAGTCAAGCAGCAATTAAATATATACACGACAAATTAAAGCTGATACATGTATTCCCATTTTCACAGGGTCTTCTCCCTGCCAACCATCGTCTAGCCATGTGTAACCTGGCAGTGCAGTCTTCAGATTGGATTAGGTGAGAAAAAAACCTCCTTTAACAATTCCCCCTGTGACTTGTGTTTTAACCAATGTAAGGTGTGTGCATAGATAAGTCCACAGTAGAGCATACAGGTACAATGTACATGCTTTTGCATGTATGGGTCTGCACCTCCAAAATTGGTACTGATATTATATACTCTGATGATGTATCTGCATTCTGAGGATTAAGGTTTTGTCAATCTACAGACACACATACTTACTGAAGTTAATTTGCAGTCATCTAATGTTCCAGTTATATGCTTGCTGTGTCGTAAACATCTATCAAGTGTAAGGAAAATGTGCAAATTACATCTCATGCTGGTAACCCTTTATCCAACCCCTTTTACTGTAAATAAGGTTAGCAAATGGATGGCGCCTTCTATTAATCCTCTTCTGATGGGGTTTCACTGGTAATAAAACTGTGAGGAACAAAACCCAACTTGCTGTAAAATTTTTGATGACAGAGTAAAGCATGTCTACTTATGCTTGAGAAGACTTCTGAGCTGTTTTGATTCCATAGTTGTTATTATGCATGGTGGTGAGGTTGTGGACAATATGGCAGATAGCCAGGAATACATGTTAATTCTCTGGGGGCCAGAGCTAATGTAATCCTTGAGTTATAGTGGCAGGAATGGGGAGTGCTTTGGGAAATCAGAATTGAATCTTGCACACTTGTATACTTTCAATTTGAATTGCAACCACAGTAGAATTGGGAATGCGCATTCCAGTACTGAGTATAATGAATGTATTGCATTGAAGCATATTTGATTGAAATGAACATCACATTTTGACTTTGTGTTTTACTCTGACAGTAAATGCATCACATTCTAATATTATGACATTGTCCCAAGAGACTAGGCTGAGTGACGCAAAATATAGAATGATACATCATACCTGATGCAGACAAATATCATATCACATCATACCACATCATGTACTTAATCATAATTCTTTGTCAACATTACATATGGTCATAACTACACTGAAATGAAGATACGCATGTCATTAGCATCATGTGTATTATGTGCATTCACACATTATAAAAAGACTGTTAACAAGGAACAGGATTGTTTTGGCCAGGCTAGGCCTAATTGCTCATTCCAGTGGAAGGAACTGATTTCAGAAAACTATCTAATATCGGCAGCACCTCATTAAGGAAATGCACATTAACCAAAAACTAATCCATCAAGATGGTAAGGGTAGATTTATTAATTCAATTCTGTTAGATGGATACATGTATCTCCCTTTTTTTCATGTCGCACTTTGTTTTCTCTGTTTGGAAATGCTCGTTGGCATTTAGAATGTATATGGTATGCCCATACACCTAAGGTATAGTTTGTTTTTTAACTATTTGGCCACTGTTTTTTAATTGTCAGATTAGCATGATGCCCATATCTTTTCATAGGAATAGCTCTTGTAGGATTGCATCAAGTGATGCATACAGTAGTAGAGATGGGAGGACATTGACTAGTTAAGGTTAAATAATAAAGTTTAAGGTTAAAGGCTACTGGCCTTTGATATCTTCAATAAGGCATCACATAATGAAATTCTAGAGACAGATCAATACCACATTCTATAGAATATTTTTACAATCTGGAAGTGCTTCACTAGAAGGCACAACACATACAAATTAAGAGCAGGGAAATGACCCTGTGCTTGCATGCTGATCCAGGTTTTATGTGCTGAAACATCCACAGAATGTCAAATGGGGAGCCCGTCACCTGCTGTCTCCAACAACAACAATGAAATTTACCCACTATGATAGCTTTTGTTTTGAGATTATCTAAAAAGTAGACATAATTCCATACTTGAGGAATGAGTCGGAAAAGAAGGATAGATGGCTAGTCATAATATATGACAATAATGCATTCAAGCATGGTCATGCACACACTTGCTAAACAGGTATAGTCAATAGGGCATGAAATGTTTCGGATTAGAGTTTAATCATAATGGTCTCTTATTGAAGGACCCTGTTTCTTTTATACATCATCATTTTCACTCACACTTGCATCGGCATGGGGTTCTCGAGAAAGACAACCCATCAAGGATAACATATCCTTTATTGCTATGACAGAGTTGATCCGTGGGAGAGCCAGCAGGACCAGTGGTTACAGACAGTCAAGGTGATGAGACATCACAAGGCCAAGCTGGAGGAGCAGCAGCATGGCCTCATGGAGACCCCCAGCAAAGCCAAGAAACGCAAACTCAACACACGGACACGCAGCTGTAGTCAGAGTAGTGTAGGTGGGTGGACTGTGGATACGTGGTAAACTGCAACATGAAACTCAACTTACTGTTTCATGACAGAGTCATTGTTGTCAATAATAACCTGGGCATATCTTGTTTTGGAGTTAGGTTCAATCAGTAAGATACACGGCTTTTCAACCTCATCAAAATCAGATCAGCTATGTAGTGGGATATTTTCTTGATTCCCATGTTGCTGTTATTTGAGACCATTAAATGTATTTCTGTTTTAAGACATGGTACTTATAGGACAATATCAGCATGCATCTATACTGGTAATGTTAAAAATGATCATTCCAATGATTCTGCAAGACTTAGTTAACTTTGTTCTTTTAATTTACAGAGGACATTGCCAATGAAAATGAGGTGGAAGAGATCAACTCAAGAAATAATGCAGGTGAGAATTAAGGGTGTGCTGTTGCTTTATTGACCTGAGTCTCATACAATAATGTATAGTTTGGTTAACTTATTTGTGTCATTATAACGGTTGATAAATGAGAAAACATTGTTTATAGTTAAAATTGTTGATCCAACACAAAGAATAGTTCTCATCTAAAGTTTTTGACCAGTCACTCTGGTCTTTCTCAGTAGAGGATGTTGTTGTTGTTTTGTTTCATCTGGAATGTGCCAAATGTGGCTTTTTGTTTCAGGGTACATAGAGCTGAAGCTGTTATGTGGGTCAGATCTTCTGGAGTCCTTTGGAACACACGGTCTATGGAAAGATGCTGACGTGAGTCTATCACTGAACTTACCACACCTTCTCTTGTAGAAAATAGAAGACTTTCGTTCTGTTACCTAATCTAAGCTACGAGTCCTAAGATGTGCCATAGCCCTTTTAAGTACAAAAAAGGAGCAGCCTCTGTCACTAGGTTCAAGATCTGAGAAAATTACTGAAATGTGTTTTTTAGTATCTACATGTCAATCTAATGTCCCTGACCCACATATATTAGTGCTGTGTTCCTATCAGTGCATAGAAGTACATGTTTTAAC